CTTCCCACAAGTCTGAATGATTGACATGTGCATGAAAAAAACAAACAAACAATGGTTTTGCCTGTATCACATTGGCATAAATGAAGAAGTACAAATGTAGGTGTTTTTTCTAACAGTACTGATGTCAAAAATGTTAATTTAGGAACATTTCGAAAACACACATACACCACAACAGTAACATTTATACAACATTTATACATTTTGTAGTCCAAACATTTAACAAATCACTTCAAATACTATATTGCAATCCCATTTAAGCTTCTGGCAAAAACTTTAGGCCTAAGTGAAAGACACTGTTTGCACTCCCTGGGAATCAAACCCATGACCTATTAAGGTCAATGTTAAACTATCATCCATCAGTTTAGAATCACTTGAACTCCTTTGTCTGGTTTCATTATCCATAACGGTCAATACTAAGTGCTGAATTTAGTTTAAGTCAAAAAGGAAACCAAGCTTACAGACAGAATAATATCTCTGTTTTGCCGATAGATAGTTTTTACCATATCCCCTTTTTTCATATGTGCATTGCCTAATCATCTGATGTTAGTATGAGATGCATTAATAAAATTATAATAGGTAAACTAAAATAACCAATTAATATAAAACTAAATTTTAAATGAAATATTAGAGCAACAGCATAAATTCTTGCTGCCCACCACCTAAGGACACTCTCTATCACTGGTTTTATAATCACTGAAGCCAGAAGATTTGGGACAGTAATTGTTTGACTAGATTAATGCATAAACACAGCTGGTGTAAACTTATCATGCCTTGCAGCTCATGTTTTGTGTTTTGAGAAGAATTATGGACAGTGTCCTCTATGATACAGCTTAAATTAAGTAGACGTTTTGAGAGAGATAGGTGAAGTGGCAAGGATGAGGCTGGGTAAGAGTGATAATGTTTCCAGCTGCTAGAAAATAGCTGGTGGAAAATTCTCTGCTGGAGAGGCTTGTTCAGTTAAATGCTATTTTAAAGGCGTTTGTTTGTCTTTATTCAAGGTGATCGTTTAGAACATCTGCTTCGAGGGGGTGTGATGAATGCTTTGCCTTCCCTTCAATCAAGGTTTCCAAATGAAATGAAGCCAGTGCAAGTTCTACCAGAAAGACTCAATCGTTCACGTCATGTATTACCTTCTCATTTATCCAATCATATCCTAATAGTCAGTATAAAAGTTTGGTACTTACACATGTCTGAGTTCTCAGATGCTGTCGCTTCAACCACCTCCATCCTCCCCATCCACCACCAGACGGGACCTTCCCTTCCTAACATTCATGTGCTCCCCTCCATCCTTCCCACCACCTCCAGATGGGCTCTCCCCTCTACCCTGAAGGACGTCCTCTCCTCCTTCTACCCCACCACCACCATATGGCACCCTTCCTTACTTCGCAGGGGGTGGGCTGCATGCGCCCCTGCCTTCGTCTTCAGGCAGGATATGCAGATTCCGTACCCTCGGAATGTGAATTACGGATGGGGCCTACGCCAAAGAATTGGATTGTTTGCTGAGCTCAAATAAATGTTCATTGTCACAGTATTAATTCTTAGTAGAACTATTTTTACAACATTATCCCTGCACTCTTTCTGCCATACACTTAATCTTTTTGTTTTGTTGTGTTTAATTTAGAAATCATCTTCTCTAATCCTATTGGATTTACTTGGACTCTCTGGCACACAGAATTTGAAAACTCCTGTTCAAGCTGGTTTTTAATAACCAGAATCAGAAACCAAAATTGTTTTGTTGATTTGTGAGTTGGTTTGTGTTTGTTCATCTCTGTCATTATTCCTATTTGCATTTTGAATGAGTGTCATAGTGTTCTGATACCTAGAATAAGGTTAAGAGCTGTCAACATAATTGATGTTTCCATACTCCTCATTTTGAGCTGTTGAAGTGGCACGTTGCTGAGGTTATGCAACCACACGACCACAGCTGCTGTGTTGCACAGTTCAGTCAATTTTTAAAGCAAAAAAAAAAAGAAAAAATTAAATAACATTCCCATAGGTGCACAATAGACACTAGACTGACCTTAAGGACATCATTCTAAAAGCTTTTAAAAACATTACATTTTTATTGTGGGATTTTGTGGCCTTGTGTTTTTCATCAGTCATATTTTGATTTTGTTATTTGTTGAAATGAGAGGGATTATAGCAATAAACATGTTTGTGCAAACAAAGAGCGGTGATATTGCCAATTCATCATTGCCACCACCAATTCATGAATACTTTTTCTTTTATCTCCAGAAAGCGTTTTCCATTCACTTCAGGAATAATGGGAAAGTATTAAGTGGCTTTAAGTACTATATACTTACATTGAAATGAATAATTTGATACAATGGACCTATTGTGTACATACATGTTTTTACATTGTACTTATATTTTAAAAATACCAGCTATGTAATTACAGCTATAATTACTTCATGTAATTACATTTGTAATTACACAGTTGACCCTCCCCTCACAACTTAACCTACCCTTAAACCGACCATACCTGTCCCTAACCCTACCCGTATCACACCTCAATAGCAGCAAAAGTGTTTTACAATACAACAGGAACACAATAATACATTGTACTTATTGTTCAATATAAGTACATAGTACATAAAGCCACTTAATATAAAGTGGGACCAGTAAATGAAATAGGAATAGAAAATGAGTGGTGGTTTATTTACAGTCCGTATGTTCTTTTCCTCCACACGTCAAATGTGAGACTGACATCATCAGAATAATACATAACACAAATTAGCTACAGTTCTTTCAGTGTCTGATTGAAAAAGGTACAAATGTGTTATCATGACAGACAGTGGTGAGTGAAGGTTTAAAAATAAATATATTCTCCCATGAATCTCTTACCGCAAGTGGTTTATGCAGAGGCAGGCTCAGTGATCCACTGAACCCTCTTAATACTGGAGTGGAGTCAGTAAGGGGAAATCAGCAAGCGCTATATATATATATATATATATATATATATATTATCTTTCAGTCAATCCAGCTGTTCTCATTTGGCCTTGAACTCAAATGATCCTTCTACTAATCTCAAATGTTCAATTCTGGTCTGATCAGCACTGCAAGAACACAAAACTGGATGGGAGATGAAAGGTGGATGACGCAAGCAAACTATGAAAAGCAAAGCTCCACAATTGCTTGGTTTTGATTCAAAGTGACACCTCAAGTCGACATTCACCTTGAATACATACAGCCATGTTTGAAAAATTTAAAGTGTTGTTATTCAACCAACGTCTAACCAAGGGCTGAATACTCCAAGCTTTTAGCAAATCAATTTAAGCTTGAATTTAAAAACTGGTTAATATTGTAATGAATAATTTGTCTCATCCCTTCTCTATCTTTTGTTTTTGTCTTCTATGTCAGTCTGTGAAACAACTCACTCCACTGTTGTAAATGTGTCAAAAGATCATGATGTCGCCATGGAGACACATTGTTTTACCTCATATTTAACAGACTGAAGGCTTGAGACTGAACCTGAACACACCGAAAAATGTAAAGACAAAAACATATTTCAGTTAGGTTTATGTTTGAAATAACCACAAAATAACAGGGGAATTACATTTTTTTTCTAATATAATAAAGCCAATCCTCACTTTGATATTAATTTAAAAGCTCTAGTAAGTAAACTCTGGTAAACTCTAGTAAAAAAATAAATAAAGACTACCTTTTGAAAATGTAAAACTTTTAACTGGTTTTGACAATGCATGCATAGTAGAAAAGAGAGATTGTATTGATGAAAAGAAGTAGCCTGATCTGCCTAAAATATACTGAGTTAGTAAATATGACACTTTGTGTGAGTCTTTAGCGCCCTCCTCTGTCAAATCTGCGTATGACAAGTAAAATCCATCTTGTGTTCTACAGGAAAGTAATTCAACTTGAACTTCACTGTAAAATCTAACATTGTTCTTACTAAGAATTTTTTGCTAACTTTTCCATAAGTGCAATAATTTGTTGAACTTACTTAAAATTTCTTAGTAATCTGTACTGTTTGCATGTGTGCTTTCGTTACTCAGAAAAACCTTGTAAACATTACTTGACTGGTTTGAGTACCATTTTCAATTTGCATTCGCTCATTTTCCAGTCATCTTGAGTGTTATTGTCAATACACCTAAATATTTTTGGGAGAACATCAAAATTCTTTAGTTGACTTGTTGATTTCCCTTTCTCACCATTATTGTGATTGATGTTCCCTTTGGTTAGGCACTTGGAACTTAATTTATATTATTGTTCTCTTCCAATTGTTTGCAGTGATGCAACTTGAAATCATAATTATTTGATTTCAAAGGAAGTGAAGTAAATTATATATATATATATATACACACACAAACACACATACTTAAATTAATTAATAAATTATATATAACATAAATATATTTCATGTATAATAATGATCTTTTAACATTTTATTGCTAACGCTTATGGCATAAATCTTTAATTGGGTTGATATAATCCCTCTATATTTGTAACAATATCTTGCAATTTTGGTTGAGTCACACACAGACTTCAACATTCAGCATGCAAACCACAACAGTGGTAACATTTTTAAAAAATCATTTAATTAATTAGACATTACAATTTTATTTGTCTCTTTTCAGTATAACCCCAATAACGATAGCAAATAAAATTGTAATAAAGCCAAAAACAGTAAAATAAAGCAATTAATTTATTCATGCCGCAATGCACTCTTGGAGTACGCTTCCTCGGTTCACAGATACTGGAAAGTAAAAGATCAAGTATAGTATAGAAATTATTTTAAGTTACTGGAACTCTCTTGTAAGTGTACACTACTAGGCATGCACTTGTTAGTACTACATATTATTTCTATTTCACTTTACTCAGTTTTTTGAGTGCAATCGGTTTGCATGCTTTTTTCAAGTAAGGTGTACTAATTGGATTTTACAGTGTTGTACCCATTTGCTGATTTCTAACACCATGAAAATGAATGAATAAATAAGGTGTAGATTTTGCTGAATATTTCTGAGAAACAAAAAAAACAAAACATATATGTTGTATGAATTTATTTACAGACATCCTGTAAAAGCAATAAGCCTTTCATAGCATTAGTCTTACCACAGTGATTGTTTTAAGATGTATATATTGTTTTGTTAGCTGCTGTTTAGGAATTTTGAGGGATCTACTTTTTTTGTGTTTAGTTGGAAGCCAGAATCTGATCCACCCAGTCGCGGAGCTCAGTGACACGGGCGTACACACCAGGTATACTGGTGTCACAACGACTGCTTCCCCAGGACACTATACCCACCAGTGTCCAGACATCACCCTTCTGACACACCAGAGGACCACCAGAGTCACCCTAAACAGACAGACGGTCAAGAGAGTGATGGTGAGAGAGTTATATAGAGAGAAATTGAGGAAGTGAGGAAGAGAATATTCTTACCATGCAAGAGGAGGCACCAGCAGCACCAGCACAAATCATGACATCATGGATGTTGCTTCCCCAGTAGCTTATACAGTCCTGGTTGGACAACAGAGGCAAAGCAACCTGCTGGAGCTCATTAGGGGTGAACAGAGCTACACGGAGAGAGAGAGAGAGAGAGAGAGAGAGATCATAAAACATGTTGCAAATATATTATAAATGTATGCTACCATTCAAAAGTTTGGGGTCAGTAAGATTTTCTTTCTTTTCGTTTGAAGTAATTCATACTTCAGCAAGGACACGTTGGTCAAAAGAGACAGTAAAGACATTTATAATGTCATGAAAAATGTATATTTCAAATGCTGTTCGTTTGAACTTCCTATTCAGCATAGAATCCTGAAAAAATTGTTTTTCACTAACATATTAAGCAGCACAAATGTTTTGCTAGCTTTGCCATAACAGGAGTAAGTTACATTTTAAAATTTATTAAATGAGAAAACAGTTCTTTTCAATTGTAATTGTATTTCACAATATTATGTATTTTTGATTAAATAAATGTAGTCTTGGTGAGAGACGTCTCTCAAAAAATCTTACTGACCCCAAACTTTTGAATGGTAATATAATTAGAGATCAATTGGCATATCTATTATTAGCATTATATCAATTGCATAGCCATTATAGAATAATAATTATAATATATTTCAATAATATAATGATGTATTATTTGTATTATTTTTTTGATGTAGAAATATATGAAGAGTTCAGATGCAAAAGCCTCTAAGTGCCATTTGAAATTTTCTTCTAGAATGATAATTTTTATCAAGCTTGTATATTTAAGTTCAGTGATTTCACTTAAATGGCAATGATAATTACCTATTAATTGTTTTTTAAGTGAAATTACTGAACTTAAATATACAAGTTTGATAAAAATCATCATTAAAGAAGAAAATTTCAAATGGCATTTAGAGGCTTTTGCATCTGAACTCTTCATATTCCGAATATTCTAATCAGACTTGAATGAATATCACATTTTTAAAGATATTTCTATTGATCTAGAAACAAAAGCAAGTAGGCCTATGTATTATAGACTGTGATGTTTTAGATAGACCAACCATTGTGATTGGTCACTCCCCAGCCAGAAGTCACACATGTCATTCCAGGAGCAAATTCGTCTGAGGTCTCAGCAAGACAAACAGGAGACACATGGTCATTCAGTGAGACGGGGGAGGTCAGCTTGATCAAGGCAATGTCATTCTCGATGGTATTGGAGTTCCACTGAGGGTGGGTGAACACCTGTAATTGTGATTAAATCAAAAATCCCATGTCAAAACAGAAAAATCAGTAAATAAATAATGAGGAGAGATAAACATAACACTTTACAATATGGGTGCACTAATAATGCACAGATAATACTGAATTAATGTGTAACTAATGATTATTTAAGCTATTCAGTAATGATTACCACATTAGGAACTAATTAAAAGTCTGTAAGGTTAATGTATTAGTTCATACATAAATTGTTATTAATTAAATATGTGATTGTGGGTTAATTCCATAATAACTTATTTTTTTAACCAATAGTGTTAATTAATATATGTTAATTTCCAGAATGAGCCAAAGTCTTGTATTTCAACTTCCAGATAATATGACAGGTACACTAATATGCATTAATACATGATTAATTACTATATTGTTAGTGCAAATTAATGTGTAAATTACTACAATTATTAAATGAATAGTTAATAATGATGTGCCCCAACAAGTAAAGTCATAACATAATGATACATTTGCAAATCATTAGCTAATGATTTATTAAAGCAGACAACTGGAAGTTGAAGTGCATTGACTAATTGTGGTAATTAACACATTAATTTACACTTTTAGTTAATATAATATGTTATTAAGGAATTAATACACAATTACACATTGAATTAATAGAAATTCATATATTACGTAATCTATTAATAATACACTGTAAAAAATGATGCAGGTGGGTGTTAAATACAACCTCTGCAAATCAGTTATATTTTACTTAAGTATATTAGTTAGCAAGTAAAATATATAAAAATGGGTACATTCTAACTACACTACCTATTTATTAACAGTAATATCTGGATCATTAAAAAATAAGTAAAACATACCCCATTATATTAGTTCAGTCATTGCAAATTGCGTATGCGTCAACTTCAACGTCCAGGCGGGAATCGCGGAATTCAAATTCAACGTCTTCAGAAGGACCACGAAGTGTTGAGCTCCAGGTAAGATGTTTTTTGTTGTTTTTTTTATCATGTTGTTATCATATAACCCAAATATTAACTTATTTAATGGTAAGATTCATAAAAAGATTTGTAATTTGCTCGCTTATGTCGGTGCCACAGCCAGCTGACAGGTTCGAATTTCAGGCTGGTCGATTTAGCTTTGATAATGTTAGTGTTATACTGGGTCTTATACTGGCAAATGCGAGTAAAAATCTACATTGATAATTAAAATATTAGCTGCCATTTGTGTCATGCACATTGCTGAAATTAGTGAACAGCTTAGCGAAGGTGCAGCTGTGTGATAAGGGTTTGTTCACGCCGACAGCGTTTTTATTTGATAGCCTATACGGTTGACGATGTCCTGAGGTTAGAAAAGTTTAAGTCGTTTTTTTTATGTGATTATTGTCATCATTGTTTTAATCAATGCTTGTGACAAATATTCTGGGTTGCTGTTTCAAATTAATAGGATTATTGTTGCTGGACGCGTATGTGTGTGTGTGCCGCACGCACGTGCAGTTCAGAGAGAGTTCTCGAGTCGACTCTCTTCACTTTTCGAAGCGACGGCGAAGAAGCATCGCCTCTGAATGATAGGGATGGGGGTCGATTCAAAAAAGAATCGATTCCGAGGCGTTGGGAATTGAGAGTCGATTCCAAAGGTTCAAAATGCAAAGGTTGGGATCGATTCCATTAAGGGGAATTATCTTACTCGACTCGTAGTTTAGGATAAGTAAATCTGATTTATGAAATCAATCGACAAAAACAATCAAATTATTTTTTAAGTCATTAAATTCAAGTTCAAAAAATCTAAATGTTCACCCATATAATCAGGTAGTGGCAACTCTATTATTCCTTTGTTCTATGTGGACATTTATTTCCTGAATGTTCCAGCATGACAATCTATTCCAATCCTTACAAGATATTTCCATCTAAAGTAAAGGATTAGATTGCTAATTGTTTTATTATGGGATACTGGGGTCAAGAATTCAAGTATTTCTTTCGATTTTTTTTTACCTGTTGAAATTGAAGTGCTGATTAATACAGAAACCCTGCTTTGTCTTGAAATAAATGACGTAAATAAAAAAGACAACTGTTTTGGAACAACGTGTTGTTAATATGCTTAAACTAACTTGAAAAAATGATATGCTTTTCCTTTTTCTTTTTAACAGGAGGACGAACTTGAGGGCCACACAAACCAAATAATGAAAGTTTTGGTGATTCATAATCCCACAGCCGAGGAGGACCCATCAGATGTGTTGGTTGTTATAGAGGGCAACAGAGTACTGACTGGATGTGGAAACAAAACCACAGCATGCATTCTGTTGATGGGGCTGATGTATGCCCTCAACCTGGAGTACCCCAAAACCCTTAAATACACTTTTGACATGTTCCAGAAACTTTCAGTGTCACTTTCACTTTCAGCAGTTCGTGTCTGCTGTTAAAGTGGGGGAGTGAGGATGTGTGAAGACAAGCGAGGTTCTTTATGTGCATGACATCGAAGACCATGATTAATAAGAGTCTCAGACCATCATCAGAATGACCACAAAAATGCAAGTTGGTCAACAGATTTGTCTTTGTCTGTTTTTGTATTAGTTTTAAGAAGTTGTTAATGATATGTTGTGTCACTTGTAATTAAAGTCCCCGTGAACCGGAAGTCGCAAACGATTTTTCTCCAGTGCTGTGACGTATTTCCAAGTGAAACAGAATGTTTTATTTTTTTAAATTTTTTTAAATGAAATGTTTTTTATCCATAGTATTTGGTCAATAAAGAGTAATTTGTTACTGTTAAACTGTGTCCTGTGTCTGGCCATTTTTAAGTAAATTTAACCATCTCTGAATAAGTAATGTTTAATTATTTCTATTCACTTATTATCATTAATAATAATTACTGTTTTCTGCTAATAATAGAGTAATTATTACTCAATTTGTATAAGTAATTAGCTGTGTAATGTATTGAGAAATATTAGGTAGAATATTTACCTAATTTCGTTTAGTATATCATAGCTGTTAAAGTCCGGTACTCCTTACTCAAAAATATAGAATGAAATCTACCCAAACAAAATGAGTGCAAATTGTTACCTCACTTTTATTGAGTAGATTCTATAGGTTTGTTTTTACAGTGTATAGACTCTTTATTAATTGCTGATGCAGTAATCATTAATTAATGGTTTAGTTCTTCATGAGTTATACATTAACTCATGATCATCTGTGCATTATTTAAGTATGAATTAATGCATATTAGTGCACCCATATTGTAAAGTATTACTATAAACATAAACGAGCATATATACAGAGTAAACGTTGTACCTAAAAAGCATTGTCATGAATCATGATGCATTATCATGTTGAATGATTATTAAGTGGACATTTAAGTGTCCAACTCTTGTTTGTTATTGAGGAATATGTTTGAAGTTTTAAGCCTCACGTTTGACACTTTCATAGTCTGCGTTTCCTCCTGAGTGTTGACGCTTCCCTTGTTATGCTCTCCCAGGATCACACGGTGACTAGTTCTGGAGATAAGCAACAAAGGTTTATTAATCCTCATCTACCTCAGGATTCATGCATAGTACTGTGATTAGTCTATAGCCTCACCTCACACTGCAGTGTGCAGCAGTCACAACCCAGTACTCACTGATCAGAGAGCCACCGCAAAAGTGGAAGCCAGTGAAGTCCTGTCATTTAAACAACACAATGGCAAACGAGAGAGAGAGAGAGAGAGAGAGAGAGAGAGAGAGAGAGAGAGAGAGAGAGAGAGAGAGAGAGAGAGAGAGAGAGAAGCAAATTACACTTTGTATAAACAGTGTAGTATAATCTACCATTTGCTATAATACTAGTATACCTGCAAGGAAACCTGCCAGGGCCAGGAGTGAGGCAGTGCCTCTTCACCATTCACAATGCGGGCATAGCCACTGACAACAGGAGGAATGGCAGGAACACCACAGCCTAAAGAAAAAGGAAGAACAAGAGATCAAAGAATAATAAAAATGTAATGGAATTTGATAGTATAATGTAAATTGACCAATGTTTTCGTAAATACAAACAATAAATTTTTTTAACATCGGGTGCTGGTGACTATACTGATCTTTTCAGTAACTATGAGTATGACAGTAAAAAAAAAAACGTCCTCACCATAGGCTGCACCAATGAAGGCAACACAGGACAGCAGCCACAGGAAAGACATTGTGCAGAAGACAGTATTATTGACAGCAGAAAGTCCTATTTAACACCAAACCATGATTCCACACATACCAATAAGGGCATGGCAACCTGATGTCATGGTCAAAAATTAACCCTGAGAGTCTGCATCAGCTGGTCTACACCTGTGCTGAATCCCATGATTTTATCAAACAGTACTTGTACATTGCCATGATTAGCAAAGTACAGTGCATTTTTTTTTTGCATAAACCAGGTAGCTTAATAAATGTGCTATAAAACATTTCTGTTTGATTGCTTTTAAATTACTTTATTGAAAAAAATCTTATTGTTTAATTAATTTATATGTTTTATTTGTTGATCAGGTTTGCATTTCAGAAAAATATTAATTTAAAAAAACATAAACAACTAAATCAGTTGCCAACTAATCCTTCACTGGAAGGTTCACATTTAATTTGAATCTCTTTTTTGAAATATGAATCGTGTCATCTGTTCCAACTTCCAACCAAAACGGTTTGGTTAATATTTCTGATTGGCAAAAGCATTATAACTTCTTATTCGTAGATTCCATTACAAAAAGACATTTGCAACTGAAGAATAAAATAATAATAATAAATAAACAAACAAACAATTTGAACTACTGAATATTTATATTATTTTTATAATTACATATTATACATTTTATTATATTATTTATATTATATCACACATTACATTTTGAAATATACATATTATATTATTGAATTATATCAAAAATAATTATATTGAAATATGGATTTTGTTTGGCAAATTAATAATCACAGAACATATTATAGAAGTGGTAATAGAGAAGAAGGGGACTAGGGATTTTTCAGGCATCTGGAAAATACACATAATTAAAAAAGTTATAATTATTTAATGATAAGTTAACAGGTTATATGATGCCTTTATATGGGGTTTCTGGAATACTTACAATATTGATAGTTTAACTATTAATTATTATTATAATAATTCAAAGTAAATGTGTCAGCAATTTATGTTTGCGAAATGTGTGGGAAGGACTGGTATATAAACCCTCAAACGTTAGTGAGACGGCCCTGATTCATCATGGCTTTCGTTTGGATTCTGTCGTGTCTTGCTTTCATTGGAACAGCCTATGGTTTGTTGCTGTTATTTCCTCTGTAAAACAGATTTAAAAATTTGAAAAAAAAGTCTAGTTTTAATAGGCTACATACCCATCAAGGGAAGAATGCTTGGATTTGCATGAACATTTCTACAAATGGTTTTTTCTTTCACTCTCAAGGCTGTGGTGTTCCTGCTATCCCTCCCGTTATCACTGGCTATGCCAGAATTGTGAATGGTGAGGAGGCAGTTCGTCATTCCTGGCCCTGGCAGGTGTCTCTGCAGGTACAAACAGACATCATTTTAACAGATGACATATGGATAAAATTAACACATTTAACAAAACAAACATTAATATTGGCTAAAATAAATAAATTAATCTAATGTCTCATTGCAGGACTCCACTGGCTTCCACTTCTGCGGTGGCTCCCTGATCAACGAGTTGTGGGTTGTGACTGCTGCTCACTGCAATGTCAGGTGAGAAAGTATTAAAAGTATAATCAGTATAAATTATTATTATTTTTTTTGCCAACTATTATTTCAGAATAAGTATGTTTCGTTAATGAGTAAAAGAAATCGATGCATTTTTTTTTTATTAGGACCTCTCACCGTGTCGTCCTGGGTGAGCATGATCGTTCCTCGAACGCTGAGGCCATTCAGACCATGACTGTTGACATGGTGTGTAGACTCTATATGTTCTGTATCACACCTAATGCACTGAGACAAGGTTTAAACAGAGAGATGAAGAAATTTCTGCCACTAAATATGAGAATATCTTTAGTGAATGCTGACGTATCTATATCCTCTTCCCAAAGGTTTTCAAGCACCCTAACTACAACAGCTTCACCATCAACAACGACATCCTCCTGATCAAGCTGGCCTCTCCTGCTCAGATCAACACTCATGTGTCTCCCGTGTGTCTCGCTGAAACCACTGACGACTTCCCTGGAGGCATGAAGTGTGTGACCTCTGGATGGGGTCTGACCAGGTACAATGGTGAGTTTCAGAATCTCTTTTCAATTCAGCATTTTTAGCATTTTTACATATATTTAAAAAAATATTTACATTTATAATGATGAAAGTTTGATTTTATTTTTCTTATAGCATTTGTTCAGCTTTTATGGTTTAAGAAGGCAAAACTTGAGTTTGAGCTCTGTCCTGACTTGTTTTCTATGCTGAAAGCTTCTAAAATGCTGGCAATCTGTCGTTTCAGCCGCTGATACCCCTCCCCTGCTCCAGCAGGCCGCTCTGCCCCTGCTGACCAATGATGACTGCAAGCGTTACTGGGGAACCAACATCACTGATCTGATGATCTGTGCCGGAGCCTCTGGTGCCTCATCTTGCATGGTGAGTCTCTCTTGATTTTCCATCTTACCTTTCTATTTTCCAAGCTCTTGAAGATTGTGAAGATCTGACTAACCTGTGTGTTTTACAGGGAGATTCTGGTGGTCCTTTGGTCTGTGAGAAGAATGGAGTCTGGACTCTTGTTGGTATCGTGTCCTGGGGAAGTAGCACCTGCTCAACCAGCTCGCCTGGTGTGTACGCCCGTGTCACCAAACTCCGTGCCTGGGTTGACCAGACCATTGCTGCTAACTAAAGCACAATGTTTATACAGTAGTTTGTGCTCATAATGTTCATCAATAAAGTTTCACTTTGAAACAAAACAAACTGTTTGTATTTTTTTTCTGTAGAAAAAAAAAATTTGTAATCCAATAACTTTGTTTACAGTGGACAATGGACTTTCTATATGTTTGAGTGAATTTTTCTTATTACATTACTTTGATAATTGCAAATTCAACAGAAGATTAATTATTTGAAACTGCTATAAATCTTCTGCAAAACCAGATGAGATGACAAATGTGTATGTAATAATACAAAGTAATAATAACAACTAGTAGATCATCTCGAAATCACAATAAATCATGTTCCCAATCATGTTTTCTATTATAGCTATCATGCCTGGAGCTCTTTTAAATGAACTTTGTGAATAGAAGACTATGTAAAAAAAAATAAAAAAAAAGTGAACAGGAAAGAAAATGAATAACATTATTTCTTATTTGAATGTTAAATATACTCACAAGTTGTTGTTTTAGTTACCTGCCATTCATTTGTAATCTATAATAATATATAAATAAAATACTTTGTTTTGTTTAATATAGGCCTATTTTAATAATATTATGATAAAATTCTTGAAAGAAGTTTTATAAATGCTAAGAATATAAAAGCACAGAATAATATAATGAATACAAAAAATAAACAAACACACACACACACACACACACACACTGTTACCATTCTAACACATTTCAAACACAATGGGCCCTATTTTAACGATCTAAAACGCAAGTGTCAAAGCGCAATGCGCAAGTAACTTTTTTTCGGCGGATCCCGGCGCTGTTGCTGTTTTCCCGGCGGGATAAATGCCTCTTGCGCCATGGCGCAAATCTAAAAGGGGTTGGTCTGGAGAGTAGCTTCATTATTCATACGTGTGGTTTTTAGGCGTAACGGAAATAAACCATAAATAAGAGCGTCAAATCACATTCCCTTTAAGAGCGTGATCACAATCGGTTCACAGCCGAGGAGATCGATGTTCTCGTCAGGGCCGTAAAAGAACAGCCCATTCTCACCCCCAAGGCGTCACTTAACTGACGCCTTGGGAAGCATTTGGACATGCTTCAATATCTGACGCTTTAGGCGCCCTTTAGCGTCAGTTAGATGACGCCCTAGGATCGCGTGTACCCTACCCCCACCCCACACCTAAACCTAACCGCGTCCTCTAACTGACGCTTTCCTTTAGCGTCAGTTAGATGACGCCGTAGGATCGCGTCATGTAAGTGACGCTAAAGGGCGCCTAAAACGTCAAATATTGAAGCATGGTCAAAGGTGACGCCTTGGGGTGAGAATGCGTTGAAAAGAAAGAGAAGGGACATTGGGGATGGGACAAACCCACCCAAATTAGCTTCGGTTAAATACAATAACTTGGGTAAATGTGTAAGTTTTATGCCTATTCTTCCCATCATCATGGACACAACAATGATTTCCCTCATGTTTATATATTTTTTCTTAATGAGTTCAGATGCAAAAGCCTCTAAATGCCATTTGAAATTTTCTTCTTTAATGATAATTTTTATCAAACTTGTATATTTAAGTTCAATAATTTCACTTAAATGGCAATGATAATTACCTAGCTATTAATTGTTATTTAAGTGAAATTACTGAAGTTACAAGTTTGATAAAAATCATCATTAAAGAAGAAAATTTAAAATGGCATTTAGAGGCTTTTGCATCTGAACTCTTCTTATAATAATGTATCATTTGCAAAAAGTAAAATGCTTCTGTGTAGATGAGAGAATCATCTACTGTGTGTGCTGTGCGCGTTGTTCACTCTCTGTATTATGGCCAAGCAGGCGCGCTTAGCATTATGAACAAAGCGCAACGCGCCACTGACTTTAGACCAGGTTTTTTTTCTGGTCATTGACGCAATTGTTTTCTGGAACTGCAAAATAGCACTAGGAATTGTTTGCGCCGACACACGCCTCATTTTTGTGCCAACCCGCCCAGGGAGCGCAAGTTCATTTCCTATAGCCTAGTTTACCGACGTGCGTCTGTGGAGGTAAAAAAAAAAAAAAAAACGCTTTGCGCGCGTTCAAAATAATGATAAATGCGTCAGTGTATAAAGTCATTTGCGCCGGGTGCAAGATAGAGCCCAATAGCTCTGGACAACCCCAAATTTCACACTTTATCATAAGGTTGTTGTCATGAGGATTTATACATTTTTGCTGTGCAATTGTGAATATCAGCCCAATTAAGTCATTTACATGAACACAGTTAATGTTAACTGTTAATCCATTAACTTTTGCTACTGGAAAGGTACTTCTTGTTGTTGAACTATTTCGCACTCTCCTTTTTAACTCTTACTTTTCTAATAAGTAATATTGCATACTTCCTTAGAATCACTAATGTTGCTGCATTTTCAATCCCAT